TGTTTTTTTTTTACAGAAATATATATATGTATATATATATATATATATATATAGATCGGTGAAGTCGTATCGTTCTCTCACGTCGTAGTTTGGTCTCACGTGGATTCGCATCGCGATTAGCGCAACTAGAACTCTCCTATTCCAAACGCATATCCCGCGAACTGTAAGCTCGGTTCGTACGCTAACGTCCGCGCACCCGCAATTGCAAACGCTTGCGGATTATGCGGACGCGATTCTGACGTGTCTGCTCGTTTAAATCAATCAGAATTCGACAGTGCCCGGCGACTGGGGAGGAGATCGTTACCGCATTAAATTTACGCGTCACAATTACGTAATTCCGCGTCTGCGCGCTAAATTTGTCAATGATATGACTAGACACGAGAAAATAATTAAACAACTGTATAATTATCATTACAAAGTGTTCCTTTCTCTTTTATTGATCGCCTTCCCCCAATGTGATGGTGATGGTGGTGACGGTGATAATGATGATGATCGTGATGACGGTCACTTTCCGGCAAAGCAAGCTTCCCCGTTGGTCGCGGACATCGTCGAAATTCTTCATTATTCCGCTGCGCAAAGTCACAAAGAGCGAGATAGTGCCTCTTAACGTTAAGCATGACAACCTCGCAGTAAATGTGCGGTTCCGCGCCGTCCTGATTTAAAGTTTAAATTATTCGTAATTCGTAACTCAACCTAGAATCTAGAACGGGGGAGGGTGGGGCGCACTAAAGTACGCACTTGTTACCAATTTGCTAGATTAAACTTCCACTCGGGTTTTAAGCTCGCGCGCGAATGCGAGCCAGAGGAATTCAGAATCGAATCGCACGGTGCATTTAACAAGACGCAACGTGTATCTCGCAGATGCCTTTATCCCACGTACCGCGCTCCAACCCCCTTGGGTGAGCGCAGCGAGAGTGCTTTGTCCTTTTATGCTCGTTACAACTTTGCCGCGTGCACATTGAATTATTTTACATAAAACGGGCCAGTGGACGCGCGCTTTATTCATCGGTCGATGAGTCGCTGTTCGATATCGCATTCGGACAACGGGGGAAGGGCCGGCGCAATGGGGTATTTTAATCCGTCGGGAATCTAACAAAGCGATTTCCTTGTTCATTTCTTCCTCGGTAATCGGTTTAAACACGCCCGAAGCGAGCGGGGGTTGAGAGGGAGGGAGGAAATCATTCGCTCGGCGAACGGTAAACAGAGATAATAATACGGACGAACGTTTGCATTCTACTCTACAACTTTGTAAGAACAACATTTGTAGCTTGTAATGCAATACAATCTGATAATAGGGACATCAGAATGAGCCGGACGATCTCTTCTCTGTCGAAAATGGAAATGGCTCCCCTTTTGCGCCAACATAAACGAATCCGACGCACAAGTTTTGACCCGAAATAAGTAATCGCATTCTCAATTCGCGATTTATGAAGAGAAACTCGCGTCTAGTAGCAGTTTCAAAAGCACCTACGGCATAAGATAAAATGCCAATATCCCTGCACACTAATAATACACTGATTTTGAACATTTTGTTGTTTTGGCTTTTATTAATATGAATATTTAAATTTTCAACGTAAAGAATATATGTTTATATTCAATATATATGTGTAATATATACATATTCTCTCTATATTGAAAGTTAAAATATTTGTATTTAAAGATCAAAACTAAAAGAATATCCAGACTTAGGTGCACAGAAAAGAAGAATATGGTGCACATAATCAGAAATATCTAGTTGTAAACGATATAGTTGCATCAGTTATCTTTGTGTGATGCTAATCATGCATGGTTGATATAACTCAGTTACTTTGGCGCATCAACTGCATCAGCGTAATTGCGCGTGGTCTAGTTGTGGCAACCAGAAATCAGTTGAACCGACATTTATTATGGTTACGCTCTAGCTGCACAGCAATCAGGATATCACCACTGCAACTCAGCAATAGCTCTGTGATTTCAGCAATCGCATAATTAATTGTTCCGTGCTTTATTATAGAATCTGGTTGGCGCTACCAGATTTATGTGTAGGCCAAATATATTGTTTCTTCCATGTTAATGTAATATTATTAGTGTCCAGGCATTGGTATTCTTTTACCTTACGTGTCTGAGTGCGTTGCAGAAAAATAATCTCAGTTTTCAACAAGCGACGTATGCTGAACGTTCGCGGTCGCAAAATGCACGCGCGCACGTAGGAAATATGATTTACAACGACGCGGCAATTCGTATATCCGGATGGGGTTGGTACCCACCGATTTGCTGGCGGATAAGTGGCGACGCGACACTGCTAGCCTGACTGCACCCCCGAGTTTAATACCGGTTTCTTATTTCGGCCGTGTTCGTTTGCAATTACGCCGGCACCGGCCGTGCCATGAAAACCGTAATCGTCGCGCGAATCTCTCGGTCGTTCGCAGCCGAGGGAAACAAGGCTGGCGGCGTGCGGATAAATTCCGTCCCTTTTTGGCGACACACGGAGAGACGCGACCGGCCGGCTATTCGTTGTTCTTAGGTGGTATAACCGTTTTACGGTGTCTCTCTCCCCTATCTGCTCAAACTGAGGCCGCGACGGACGGCACGGCGGCAGAATTTACGTCGGACGCGGACGCTTGTGCCGCTTTTTATGCCGCAGTCACCGCGCGATCGTAAACGACATCATCCTCTGGGGAGGATATACGCCGGGCTAAAGAAATTTAGCCCGGCGGAAGGCCCACTTCGCTGTCGTTTAACCCTCTTGCCATCTCGATACCGCTGGTTGTTAACGTATTGCGTCACCCTACGTCTCCCAAACCCTCTTCCCCACGTCCAGGAATGATTTCGACGTCCTAGGAGCGACCGCGGTTCCATACGAATGAGGAGAGATGTGAAGATGTTACTCAACGTATGCAGGATCCCCTCACGGGCGAAAATTACCCTCCACTTTTCTCATACGACATGTGCTGTCCTCGAAAGTAACGTTATTTGTGTGAGAGTTACGTGTTTTCTTTTTTCTTTTTACGCGAAATTATTAACATGCTGGCTGCTCAACTGAAATCCAGAAGCAAAATTTCTTCAACTGTTTAAGTGAGAAAAGATGTTCATCTTCCTCGAAAAGACACGTATTGAAATAATGTCTGTTGAACTAGTGCTGTAAGTATAATCCCGCTATTTCAATACCAGAGTATCCAAACCCGCGGCTATTACCCAGACGACTAGATAGCAAATAGTTACGAGCGTGGAATGCATTCGTTCGCTATTTGTTCTTATTAAAAAATTCATAACCTAGAAATGTCGAATTATTTCTTGTATTCATTAAATTAACTTTAGTCGCAAATTGCTCATGTGCAAAAGACGTAAGACACAAAAGAAAGCTGTCTTCTCTCGATCCAAATACGCGTGAAACCTATTAGCTTAAGCTAATATATCGATATAACATAGAACAACCTATATCTTATGTCAACGTCATTTATATCAAAAAATGTGGAAAGAATCTTTTATTTTGAACTTATACGAGACAGCAATGTATTTGTTAATTCTTTGTTATCATAAGAAAAATTAATAAATAGATATTCGAAATTAAGCGCATATCCGAATACTCGGATAAAACTCGGAAGACACATTAGTGCTGTCGAAATTAACAGTACTAATAGAAAGCAGAAAATACCTTTATTACTTTATACGAATAGAATGTGTCATCAATGATACGTTTAGTTTTGAAATTATTTACGATAAACGTACTTTTCCTCGTAAATGCATTGATCGACGAGCTTGCTAATATATATCGTCTGATATAAAGTTAAAAATAGCAATTTGTTCGCACTGATTTTATGGATATATTCTCTGTTTGGTGCGAGATACTGCTAAAGCGAAAATTGCGGGTGCTATCTCACGCGCATAATAAAAACTAATTACAGCGATTAAAGGAAATACACGTAATTTGTCAATAGAAGTTAATATCATAAATATTACGATATTCGAAACGGTGTTTCAATATTATCGCGCATATAGAATTTTAAAAAAGCGTATTTCGCTTTTCAGTTTTTCGAACGAATGCCACGCGTTTTCATCCCTTTACGCACGATTCCAAGCTCATGCGTCGTGAAAGAATCACGGTAGCAATTTGTTGACGCGGCCAGTCCACAAAAGAGCGCGGAATCAAAGCCGAAATTAAACACGTACGAAAGAGAGAGAGAGAGAGAGAGAGAGAGAGAGAGAGAGAGAGAGAGAGAGAGAGAGAGAGAGAGAGAGAG